CTGGACTCCGCGTCAGAGGCTAGAGTTGATCCAGGTCCTGTTTCCCGGCTGTGTGGACTTGAGTAGTTACTAACCTCCCTGCCTTCAGCTTTCTCGTCCGTGAAATGGAAATGGTCACAGTGCCACCTGACAGAGTTACTGATAGGATTTAAGGAGAGCTTTCAGCACCGTGTTCAATAATGATTCCGAAATGTGAGCTGCTCTCATTATTGGGATGATTATTCTTCCCCAAGCTCCCTGGGATCAGAACCAGACAGTCCCAGGTCCAGGGTGCAGCCCTTTCTCTCAGCCACTGGCCGTCTCAGGGGTCTCCTCCTGGGTACAGGGACGGGCTTATCGGAGTCACACACCCGTGGGTGCCATCCCATAGGGGCTCAAATAAGCCATAATCCAGCCGGGCCTTCATGCTTATCAAAGCCCTGAGATGAAAAGCAAATTCATCGCTGTGTCAACAGCAGCTGCTCCACAGCCACTGTCAGCCCCCATGTCACCAAGGAAGTACCTGGCACGTGTGTGCTGCCAGGGAGAATTGGAAAGATGAAGGGAAGGACAGGTGCAGGCGCCAAGCTCGGGCTGAAAAGATTGATATTATCAACTCTGGTGTGGCGTCTTCCCCATTTCTTGAGGGTTTGCTTGGTAATTGTAAAATATTGTGTGTTCATCTAAAGCTATTACGGGGGTTATGGCATTATTTCAAGAGTCCCGAGTGTGTCTCCTACTCAGGTAGGCGCTGTGATGTGTGCACCTTCCAGACGTTAGCTCTGTAAACCCAGGTAAACCCAGGATATCCAGATTCCTGATGGCCTAGATGTATGGCTCTGACATACTATGCAGTGTGACATCCTGCTGGTTCCCTCATTAACAAACGGGCAAAATCAAAGAAGTTTGGAGGAGCTCAAGTCACCATCACTATCCACAGAGCATGTGAAGCTAATATTGAAAAACCAATTTTGGTGCAACAAACGACGTCAGCCAGGTTTTGTTATGAAGGGAAATGTGACTTCCAGTCGCTATGTGGCACCTTCCTAAGAGATTTTCACATTTGTCTTATTTGCCCCACGCGCTGCTAAGAGGTTCTGTACCTGGGGGACAGGAAGGAGACCTGGCATTTCCTGCTAATTAGACAGAAACTGGAAACTGTGGCCAAGGCCCTGGTGGCTTCTGACTCACAGCTGCAGCCACTTCCCTGAGGGTGCTGTGCAGACCATGCTGCCCACCCTGTGGGGTGGACAGGATGTCGGCCAGCATGTGGTCTGCGGACTCGTGCTAAGGCCCCTCTCAGGAGCAGAGGCAGAGGACACAGAGGGCAGGTACAGGAGGCCCGGAGAGGAGGAGCCCCGCTGCCCTTAGGGTCTGACGAAGTGACCGCAGGGATGGCCAGGGGTCTTCTCCTGGAGGGCGCCCTAAACAGGCTCCCCAGCTCTCAGCTTCTGTGGGGACACAGGTACAGGACAGGACAGGATGAGGAGACAGAGAGGAGACCTTGAAGAAGCCACAGGGNGGGACATCAGATTGTGGTGGGAGGAGAGGGTGATGGGTTTTACGTGATGCTGACACGTCTGACCCCTCAGCGGGTGGGGGATGGGTTCAATGCCGAGGCTGCACACAGGGGCACAGGTGAGTCACTCATTCAGTGCAACACCAGCTGTGAGCAAACTTGTCTAAAAGCCCTGCTTGGCACATGGAGCCAAAGGAGGACAAGGTGTCTGGGCTATAAGGGACACACATCCATCACAGAGACAGCACTGCCACCAGTGTGGGGGACATGGACCGCTCCTGGAAGGAGGTGACACCTGAGGGCAGGGCAAGGACAGTAGTCACATGGCCCCGGGCAAACAAGACCGGGAGCCCTTTGTACAAATTCATGAAAAGCTTGAAACCCAGCGAGGGGCCCAGTGTGACAGCATGGGTCACATGATCACAAAGTCAGCCGCACCTGAGGGAAACATTCAATAAAATACGACAAGAAATGGAGGATTCGTGTGAGATGGCGGATGGTGGAGGCACAGACTGTTTGGAGCTCACAGCCTGCAAAGGCGAGATGTATCGGGAAGCATTGGGTGTGCGGGGTGGGGTGTGAATGAGGTCAGAAACATGGTTGGGGGGGCGTCCCCCTAGGGAATCCCACAGGGAGCCCCTGGAGACCAATCCCACAGACGACACAGGAAATGACACAATCCAGGTTATGTGTCCAGAAGACGGCTCTGGGTGATGGCGGGGGTGGGAGGAAGGCTTCCTCCTGGGTCAGCAGGGCCCAGGGTGCAGAGGAGGGCACGATGGTGAGAGACATTTAAATACAGACACGAGTTGGGTGTGACTCCCAGCCGATCTGTGTGTGTGACCAGGTGGGAGGTGTGCTGTCAGCCTGCAGGGACCGCAGTGCTACCTTTCCCCAGGCACGTTATACTCACGATGGGCACAGACGTCCCCCAGCGTGGTGGTGGCAGATTTCAGGTCCACCTGGTTGCTGGCGTTGCAGGTGAGGCTGGTGTTGGCCTGGTCCAGGGGCAGGCGCACAGCCAGGGGCCAGATGCTGGGGACTGGTCCCAGGGTCCCTGCCTGCTGCCACTTCCTGGGGAGGTCACTGTGCCACCAGGTCACATTCAGGTCCTCTGAGGCCCCCACGGCTGTGCACTCCAGGGTGACGTTGCACCAGTCTGCTGTGACAGACAGTGACTTGGGCAGGATCTGGGGGAGGGGCACCGGCTCTGTGGTGGAGGGGAGGGGAGACAGAAGGCTCAGGTGGGGGCCTTCACAGTGCAGGTTCTCACCCAGTCTCACCGAGCGCTGGCGTCCTCCCACTGAGGAGGCGAGAGCACTTTCCAGGTGAAACAGAATTGGCCAAAATCCACCGCAAGCAATCAAAAGGAAGGAGCCATGGGGTGAAGCCCAATGTGATTCCACCAGACTGAGCAAGTCTTAAAAATCTCCCTCAAGAAAATAAAGCCTGGACCCCACCAACTCAAGGCCCATCATTTCTCAGAAGTTGGGGTGTTTCCTGGGAGGTGCAGAGTCTGGCACAGGAGGAACAGCCCAGGCCAGGGCCGTGCTCCGCGTCTCCTGCTGAGGCCCCGTGGGACGGCTCGGCCCAGGGAGAGAGGAAGCCGCCAGCTCTGGGAGCCCAGAGAAAGGCCCATGCTCCTGCAAAGAGACATTTGTGGGAAAGGCGGTGATAGTGACGAGGAAGGGCCGTTGTGAGCGTGGTTAGCACAGGCCTCTGAACTTGAGGTCCACACAGGAAGCCAAGTGACAGAATCCTATGGGGACTTAAAGCTGCAGAAGCCACTGGCTGCAGCAGGACGTCCCCTATGCAGAGAGGTTCTCTAGGGAAGGAAAGAAGTGGCCTGATGAGCCTAAGAAGTGTGGCAGCGTGACCTGTCCCCGGCATGTCCGGAGGCTTTCTGAGCTGGATGTGTGGGGTGTCGTTGAGTGAGGCCTCAGCCAGGTGCTGGGTGAGCGCGGGCGGGTCAGGGAGCACCTGCCTACACGTGGGTTTCCAGACTGTGGTGGGCCGAGCAGCGGCCCCCACGATGTCCACGTGGTAACTGTGAAATCCTGTGAGCACGTTGGATGACTCGCAAGGAGAATAAGGGAACAGAATTACCATTGCTAATCAACTGCAGGACAATAAGGAGGCTCTTGAGGAGAGTCTGGGTGGGGCCAGTGTGAGCTCAGGTCCTTCAAAGTGGAAACCGAAGGAGAGAGTTCAGATGGTGGCAGCGTGAGAAGGACGAGACCCAGCACTGCTGGCCTGGGAGGCGGGGAGGGTGGCCCCCATGCAGGGACGTGGGTGCCACTGGGAGGCGGAGAGGGAGGCACCCATGCAGGGATGCAGGTGCCACTGGGAGGCGGGGAGGGTGGTCCCCATGCAGGGACGCGGGCGCCACTGGGAGGCGGGGAGGGCAGTGTTTGTCCCCAGAGCCCGCAGAAGGACACCAGCCCTGCGGACACCCTGCCCCCAGCTCAGTGTGTGACCTCTCACCTATGGCCAGTGAGATAAAGAGTCTGTGTGGATCTAAGCACAGAGCTTTGTGACAGCAGCACAGGAAACTAACTCACCAATGACGTATGGCTGCACTGATTGCTCTAAAGAGACAGAAGTGTTGTGGTGATAATCCCCTCCCAGGTTCTGTCTTCCTGTCCCCAAACACTGCAGTGACTCTAGCTCAGGTGTGAATGTCAGGTCTGCTCTGCGCTTGTGCTGAACTCTCACCAGACTTCCCAGGAGCTAAGAGAGACAGGCTGGGTCTGGAAGGAGTCCCTGTAGGAGGGCCTATGTGACACTCGTGGGGACCAGAAAAGGAGGTGGCCCTGGGAGGGGGTGAGAGGTGTCACCTACCATAGACAGTGAGCTGGAACACCTGGGTAAATCCCCTTCCATCAGTAAAGCTGCCTCGAGCCCGGTACTGCCCACTGTCCTCACAGGTCAGGTTCACAATGAGCAGGGATGTCATATTGGGCGCATGGACCCTGTGCCTGTACTTGTCCTGGAGGCTGATCAAAGTTGGCAGGTCCCCACCCCTGACCACTTGCAGCAGGACTGTGTAGTTGGTATCAGGGCCAAAGCCCCACACCATCTGCTCCAGCTGAGCTTCTGTGTCTCCTACCAGCTCCCGAGTCACGTGGAACAACACGAAGTCTCCTTGGACCCTCTTCAGAGAGACATGGGCTCTGGAATCCGCACCTCCAGAACTCAGGGGCCCAGTGCCACAGACGCCTAGGGCATCGGAAAAGGGAGACGTGAGGGATGAAGGGAGACCCACACCACCCATCCTCCGGAGAAGTCACCAGGGCTCTCCCTGGAGTCTCAGGAGGTGGCCTGGGGCAGCGAATGTGAACATTCGGAATCAAGTCCTGCTGTAGCTGGTGCAGCCCTGGGCAGGCCACTCGGCCACCTGCAGACCTGCAGACCCCTCCCTGCCTCACGGTGACAAGTGAGGTAACGAGTTCATGGACTGCGGGTGCCCAGGACATCTCCTGTTAGTGAGAAGCGCATCTGTAGGAGGCAGATTCTAGACAGGCTCCCCCTGTGTGACCCCTCCCCTGGAGTGTGGCCGCACCTGGGACTGGCTTATAAGGAATGGAGTGCCACAGAGCTGTGAGCAGCCTTGGCCACCACAAGGAAGGGGCAGGTACCTGGGCCAGCAGCCACAGGGAGTGCATTCCACCAGCAACCGTGATAGCTGGCAGCAGACCCCTCCCCTGACCCTCAAGCCCCAGCCAAAGTCCTGGTTTCTGTCTGAGAGACCCTGAGCCAGAGGAGCCCGCGGAACAGCGGGGGTCCTGCCTAACAGAAACCCTGACACTGCACAGGGAGGCGTTTCAGGCCCTAAGTCTGGGGTAGCGGGGCTCACAGCAGGAATCACCGTGACAATAAGGAAGCTGGTCTCTTCCCCCTTTCTAGGCAGAGTAGTGGTCAGGCTGCACTGGGCAGTGCTGCGGTAACCATGACAACACCTGGGGTCTGAGAACAGCGTGTGTCTGTCCCATGGCACGTGTCCCATGACACAGGAAGCATGGGGTCCTGGCAACGGGGTGGAGGCTCCACCAACTCGCAGCTGCGCCCCACGGAACCCACATGTTCTCACCGGCTCTCGGCCCCACAGAGGCCAGGGGCCAGGAGCACCACGTGTGGGTTCCACTTGTCACTTCAGGAGTAGTGTGATCCGTGTTATGTTTTGTGGCCACACTAGTGACAGGGCCCTGGTTACTGCCAGGGACTAGAGAACGCCGGAGGCAAGGATTGTTTGGTGAGTTCCACTGTCCCTGCCACCAAGACAGCACTTCCCCAGCCTGTCCCCTTCCTCCTCAGGCACCTGAGAGCCCCTGTCCCACCTGGGGACCCGGAGAGGACAGGACAGGACCAGGGGAAGTACCACAATCTATCCAATCTTGAAAGGAAGGACAATCTGATTGCTTCAGCAGGCAGGGGTCGCCTGGGTTGCTGCTACCTGCCGGGGACACAGCTGTCCCTCCAAACCAGGAAGTCCTCCTGGCACCAGGCCTGCCTCCGTCCTGCTCACCTGCCCTTCCTGGCTCTCCCTGGGGGCCGAGCGCAGCTCATGACAATGTTCACATGGCAAGTATTTCAGGCATTTCTGTATTCATTTAATCACTGACTTAACCGGGCACGTCCTCAGTGTCTTCAGCTCCCCTCACAGGACTGGGTCCCTCATACTGACCATGTGGGGGCTCCAAAGCCAGAGGCCTTCAAGGCCTGCATCATGGGGGCCGTGGTCAGTCTGTTCCTGCCTCAGGCCGTCCAGGAGAGTTACAGGTCTTCCCTTGTCAGCCTCCTGCCAGCTCCTCACAGCTCCTCCTCGGTCCCTTCCTGCCACAGGTCCCTCAGGCACCGCAGGGCAGGAAGAGGCCTGTGGCAGACACTCGCCCACCTTGGCATGCAGGAAGGACTCCCCGACACAACCCACGGAAGGTGAGGAATATGGCTGGTCACCATTGTGCTACCAGGTCCCTGTGAGCAGGTAAGGGACACAGTGCCATGGCCCAACAGATTCCCGGCACACAGCACTCAGCCCTTTTCTCACCAGAACCCACAATGGTCTAAGTCTAAATTTTGGACTTCTCAGCCTCCAGACTGAGACAATGAACTTCTGTTGCTTAAGCCACCGAGTCAGCAGAATCTGTTCGCGGCCCCAAGAATTCCCGGTGAGTTGGATTTTAATACTTTCACAGCCTGGAGCAAGAGGCACCCCCCGACCCACCAGACACACTTTCCTGTCCCTGCAAACCAGCAGCTGTCAGAGAGCGAGAGTCTAGTGACCCTCACACAACCCATCGAGGTCCCTTTCCCACTGGCAGGCACGATTCCTGTGTGTCCAGCGGAGGTGAGACACGCGTCTACAAGCGCACGCGTGTACCGGCACACACGGGGACACACACACCACGTGCCCTCTGCCCCTGACTTCCCTCATTGTGACACCTGTGGGAGCCCACTCTGCGTCTGGACACATGGAGGTGACTCGTTTAGTGGTCGCACACTGTTCCAGGTGCCCCACTCGCATCCACTTCTGAGAGACACTTGGCTTGTTTTCTGCCACCGCTAACAATGCTGCACTGAGCAGCCTGTAACCTGAGTCTCTGCACAGGAGGGTGTGTGTGTGTGAGGCTAGGTCATGGGCGGGTCCAATGGCTGGAAGACGTGAACAGCTGAACGTGTCACAGATTTTCCTAAGCTGCCCTCCAGAGGCTGTTCTTACCCACACTTTACCGACAATGTTGAGATTTCCCACCAACACACGACAATCAAGGTTTTTTTCCTTTTCCAAATTAATAAGGGGAAATTCTATGTCACTGTGATTTGAACGCGAATTTCTCATATAAGTGAAGTCAATCATTTGATGTTATTGCCGTTCTGTAAGCTCCTTTTCTGTCAGCTGAAAGTTTGCATTGTCCTCTGCCCCTGTTCCCTTTTCCTGCTAGTTTATGGGAGTTAGACATGTTTTAAGAAGACTGGCCCTGTTATGGTCAGTGATTGTGTTTCAGTGTTGGATCCACTGGAAACTGACGTGGGCGTGAGTCCAGGTGACCTAGTGTGACAGTCAGAAGCCTGGANCTTCTGGATGGCTGCTCACGCTGGCTGCTGGCTACACACGGTAGCCCATGGCAACCCACTGCCACAGGGGTTGCAGCCTACGCCGTAGCCGGCGACTCTCGGCAGCCCAGCTCCAGGTTGAGCTGTTGTTCAGCATCTTAGCTGTGGAAGGCAGTGTCACTGGCCCTCATATGTGGGATCCGAACCAGGGCCATCTGGCGTCCCAAGCCAGTTCCCAACCATTGCACCACTCGGCCAGCCCTCTAATTATATTTTTATAAGCAAGGATGAAACACCTGCTAACATATAACAGGATTTAAACAGTAAAATCAGACGAGGAAGAAGAGGCCAAGGGAGATGCTTGCTAATCAGTCATGAGGGCTGAGTGAGGCCGGACAGTGGCTGTTTATGGTTCTGGGAAGCTGTTGATTCAATTCCCATATATGATTCATCACGAGGGGCTCTGTCTGGGATTTGTCCTGTGTGGGGAGGAGTGGACATGACTGAGAAGAGGAAAAGGTCAGCTCGGTTCCTGCTGAAGTCCTGGTTGACCTGTGGCGTTACAGACTCATCCGCCCAAATAGGAAGACAAGTTTTGGGCTTCAGCGTAGAAACCCACCGTGCATCACTGGTTAATGGCGCCCTGTCAGTCGGTAACATGGCAGGGACTCCATGTGGTCCTGCGTTTCTCGGGATGTTCATCTTTAGGTAACTCACATGTCAGCTTCATTAAACTTGACGGGATCTGATTTTTATTCCTGGGATGATCTCGTGCCATTTTAAGGCTTTAGTTACTTTTGAGCCCTCTGTTCTCACAGTCTCCCCACCCCAGGGGAAGTTCCGTGACGATTCAGACCTGCCCTGTTTGCAGTCCCTTGAAATGAGCGAGTCGAGCTGAACATAAATAACCTCACTGCTCCTCTGCAAGTTGGCATAAGAAGATTACAGTGCAGAGTGTCTGCCATGTTGTCGGCAGTCCCCTCACTGTCCTTTAAAAGCCAACTTCAGAAAAGTGATGTCCCCCTCAGAGGGGGCGTCTAGCCTGTGTACTCCGGTTGCTCATCTCATGTTTTCCTCATGCTAATCTGTCTGTCTGTCTGTCTTGGCCTCTTTGGTGCGGCCTGAAGGGGAACCACAACCTGCCTGTTCCCGTCTCTGTCTCCTCTTTCTTCTTCCCACGTGTCTTCCAAAGGTACAGCCCGATTCCCACAATCAGCAGCGCAGCCATGACAGGACGTGTGAGGCCTGGCAGGTGGTGACGAGTGGCCTGTCCCTGTGGATCTGTTTCCCTCACATGGAGAAGTGAGGAAGGGCAAGACAAGAGAGAACGTGAGGTACCCACTGCCAAGGGGAGAGAGAGACAGAGCAGGTGGGGAAGTCTGCGGGGTCCTGGTTCAGTGCCGAGGACGGAGCAGCATGGCAGGTACAGAGAGATGACAAGGGTTGGTTAAGAGCTCGCTCAAGAGTTTGAGCTCTGAGCAACAGCGGTTCGAGNGGACCCTGTGCCTGTACTTGTCCTGGAGGCTGACCCAGGTTGGCAGGTCCCCACCGCTGCCCACTCGCAGCAGGACTCTGTAGTTGGTCTCGGGGCCAAAGCGCCACTCGATCTGCTCCAGCTGAGCTTCTGCGTCTCCTTCCATCTCCCGAGTCACATGGAACAACACGGAGCCTCCTCGGACCCTCTTCAGAGAGACGTGGGCTCTGGAATCCGCACCTCCAGAACTCAGGGGCCCAGTGCCACAGACGCCTAGGGCATCGGAAAAGGGAGACGTGAGGGATGAAGGAAAGACCACACCACCCGTCTTCCGGGGAAGTCACCAGGGCTCTCCCTGGGGTCTCGGGAGGCAGCCTGGGGCAGCGAATGTGAACATTCGGAATCAAGTCCTGCTGTAGTGGGTGCAGC